GTCTGGCTCATTGGTCACGTGGAGCAGAGCTGTCATGGAAGGGACCTGTGGTTGGCACTGGTGAGAAAGCAGGTCATGACTTAAAGAGCATCGGGTTTTTTTTGAAGAATTGTTACATTCTTGCAAATAACATGCTGGTCATGTGAAGGAAGTACTAAAATATTAAGAGTGCATCAGAGAGCAAAATTCTCACTAGTTACATTTATTTTTTCCACAAGTGAAGAGTTCAAAGCCAACTTGTGAACCGCACTGGCAATCTTAAAGTGAAGGTGAGAGGTAGCTTAACAGTCACAACAAAAATTCAAGCCACTTTCCTCACCATCATTCTCATTTATACTCTGTTTAGACTAGAAATGTCATCAGATTGCTGCACTTCCTTTGAGCACCATTGACATTCATTAATCATTTTAAGAGCTGTAGAGGACACTGTAGGGGAAAAAGGAAAAACAGGGTCCAGTACTGCCCATGTACAGTCAGTGTTTGCACAAATGCCAGAGCTGGACCTATTGCAACCACCATATTCATTTCAAACAAGAGAAAAATTCTGTGTGGAAAAATCCCACAGGATCCCACTGATGAGGAGGTAGTTCCTCTGCTTATGATTTGGAAGGAAATCGTCAGGAAAACAAAAGAATCAATTTTAGCCATATCCCCCTGAAATTTCCCTAAATGCCAGTGGGCTCGGGATCACACTGTTTTTGGATTTAGGTTCTCAGTCTTAACAGTTTTAAGCCAATATTTTGCTACAGATACAGCTGCAACAGAAATTAATTTCATTCTCAGTACCAAAACAGACCCTGATGCCAAGAGGGAAAAACATACTTAAAATGTCATCTTTTTACTCAAGTCTGGAAGTTTTATTCCCTATTCAACTTGTTTGGTTTAAAGCAGACACACTCTGTAGGGGACAGAGGAAACAGGGTCCAATACTGCCTACCTACAGTCAGTGTTTCCACAAATGCCTTGTGCATAAATGTTCAAACCAAGCAAGTAATTTTGAACCAAAAAACTAAGGTTGAAAGTGTTGAAACCAATCACGCCAGTATTCTCAGACCTGTAAATCAAAATGTAGTGTGCCTCAAAGCTCAGAAACAGCGTCACTTTGAACAATTAATTCTGTAGCAAGACAAACCCAAATCAACACCCAAATACTGAGCTTGGTGGCTCCTCTGGACAACCACTTCTCACTCCCTCAGCAGGGAATTACACTGCAACAGAGTGTATTTTGCACCAAAAAGAGAAAGCCAGTCACACTGAGTAAACCAGAAAGTACAAGGTGGTTCTTGGCCAACTAACAAACCCACTCTGAAGAAAATAAGAAACACCAGTACTAGGAAACCTCGTAAAGTTTCTGACAGGTTTTCTCACCAGACAGTGTGCAAGTTGGAGCCACAGCGTAGTTCACTGTGGGCCTGTCTTACCATTTGGTGAGTTTTTAGCACTGTTTTTTAGGGGATGCCCACTGTAAGTTGGGTGCTGATGCTACCTCACAGGCAACTTACAAGATGTAGAGCAGCAATCTGCACTAATTCAACAGTGAAAAACAACCAAAACCAAGAAAATCTGAACAGCAATTGTATTCTTAAAAAAAATATATATATATATGAAGATAAAGTTACCTTTCCATGGCCAAAAAAGACAGGAGATTAACAAGGTGCAGCACTCCTTCAACCCAATACTCATCCAAAGTTAGCAGTGAACAAGTGGGAGCTAAAGCCTGCCTCCTCAAACAAAGTAGGTCCCACACATCTCTGAACTTCTCACAAAAACTCTACGTGCTCCAGGTTACTCTGGTATCATGTTCCAGCAAGATCTTCAGTCCCTACTTGTGCAAGCAGCCCAGTGTGCAGCCAAAAAGAAAGCCTGCAAGAAAGAAATGAAGCCCCAAATGAACAAAAGTGATGCACTGAATGGGTGATGAACACACACTACGGAAAAAGAGACTGAAGAAAAACTCTTTCTGAAAATACTTAAAGACTTAAATAAGTTTTTGCCTGGGAAAAAAAGGCCTTCTGAGGAATTAAATGGATGAAAGTCACAAGCAGATTGACAAATCCCAGCTAGCAACAACCACACTCCAGATGGCTGGAAAAGGTACAAATTGCAGAAGTTTAGGTTCCCGGTACTACCTTTATCAATGTGAATATGGAGTGTGAGTTACTTTCTCTGTGTTTCCCCTGCATGTATCCTGTTATTCCCATTCAGGCTTCCCTTTGAGTCCAGTCCAGCAGAGTTAAACCAAGCATTAATTTATGCCATAAGCCTCAGTTGAAGAAAAGAACAAAATAATCTGCTTCATTTCATTGCAGGGTGAGCTGTTACTTTTAGTCACCACAAATGTTTTTCAGAAATTGAAACAAGCCTGTGTCCCAAGTGGATTCCTGGAGAATGCAGGGCCGTGAATTCCAATCTGCCGCTGTGAGGACCTGGCCCCTGCTGGACTCAGCTGCTGCTCCAGAGCGAAGGGTGAGTTATGGCAACCCCTCACCTGAGCACAGCAGGGCTCAGGCCCAGGCACAGGTCTGCTCGTTCTGAAGCAGGCAGTGCCCGAGGAAAAGATGGCTCTGTTCATCCACAAAACAAGAAGCTAAATTGCTCTCTGAACAGGCATGGCTTAGAGGAACCCTAACAAAGGGCAGTTCAATCCTTGTAACTGGCATTATGACCTTTCTGTGCATGGTCTGTGTTTGACCACCAGATGACAAAAATCTCTGATATTAGCCACAGACTTTTATTCACTATAATTTTTTTCAGAGAGTACAGTACAAAGTGTCTGAAAAGTTTAAACACTGAGTCCAGTTTGCGATAACAGTTCTCCTCAGCAGCACAGGGGGCAAGAAACAGATCTGGCAGTTGAAAGCCAGCACCCATGAGCAGACAAGCAGCCACTCTGAGAACAAGCCTGGACAGAGCATCCCACTCCAAGATGCCTCAAAGGGCCAACTTGAGACTCTGGGACATGGTGCCACCCTGGAAGGTACCAGAGGTGACAGCCCTTAGGACCAGATAGAGGTTCAAAGGCTTGTTCTCTTTCCCCTCTCCTCTCCCCACACTCTCTCCATCTCCCTGAAGCATTACGTCCCAGATTATATTAACACTTTAGCATATGCTACTATTATAAAACCAACCTTCTCTCTAAATCTATTTACTTAGTCTTCCTTTCTCCACCAAAACCAAATGAAATTTGGATGCTACCTACAAGTTAATAGATAGGTGTATGTGGGGTGCACTAAATTCAAGCTCTGCATAAAGAGAGCAGTCCCCTCAAAATGGCAGCAGAGCCCAGCTTTAAGCACCTGAGTGTATGAATCCATCATAGTCTGACTTTCTTTTCGTATTTGGATGAGCTCAGAAAAAATAAAAGACCCAAGTTTTATGTACAAAGGAGATGGCCATGGAAAGAAGAGCTAATAGAGGATGAAAGACAGAGGATCTGAAAACAGGAAAAAAAAAAAAAAAACCCTAAACATCAGTAACTGGAAGTTACTTAACTCACTCTTTCTCATTATTACATTAGAGGAAAAACAGGTGTTTTCTTAGTGTCAAGAAATTTGGGTTGAATTCTGATCTTAAGTCAGTACAAACCCAGAGTAACTCTCTGTTGACATCAACAGAACCTCCTTGTACTTCAGCAAGAGCCCTGAGGGCCAGACTGCGAGCGAGGAGACAGCCTCAGCGTTTCCAAGGGGCCACCACCACCTTTCGCTGCAGCTCTAAGCAAACGTGCCATGAGCAGGAACCAAAATAGCTCTAGGATCACTCTCAGCCGATGACAGATGGCAGGAAAAGTGCCAACAGGAATCATTACACCCCTTTCACACATTAGCTTCACACATGTCACAACAGCTCGTGCAAGTGTATACACCACTTCAGGAAGGATTAGGCAGATTTGCAGACAACAAGTCTATAAACAGGTGATTAAAAGCAGGGAAGTACCCACTAACACCACTAATCCAAGTCACCCTGAATGCTGAGGGGTAGGAGGCAAAGAGCTACAAGAAGGGTCCCCGCTGACACCACAGCTGAAGGCAGCGTTCTGGCCTGCTTTTCTTATTCATGTGCACTTCCCCATACTAATGACATTCTGTCATTTTACTGTTCAAGGACTAAGAATGCTTCCTCAAACATTACTGAATATTTCACTGTTAGATGCAAATTTGTCATTTTCCTTCTGCATTGACCACAATCCTAAGTTACTGAATATATAGTACATTTTAATAAATACTGGTTTGATTTATAATAAGTTTATTTTGTAAGAGCTATAGATTATTATATTCTCTGTTCCAGATTTATACCCTGTCAGACAAGTTGTTGTCAGAAAAAGATACCTGAGTTCATGGGTACATACATGCACTTGGCTACGTACAGTTCGTTGCAAATTTGCCCGCTTCAGCTCGCCGTCTTCGCCGTTCTGAGTCCTACAGGCTCTGGGAAGGTGACTGTAGGGCCGTCTGCTTTTCTTCAGCAGAATCATGAGAACTAGATGAATCAAAGTACTGAGAAATTTGTTACAAACAAGAGTCACTTTCCAGTGGAGCCGTGTTTTACTTTTTGAACCTCTCAGAATAGCATGAAAGCCCACGTACTTAGGAGGAAAGCTATCTAACTAGATCATACTGGTTTTTGTTCTCCCTCATCTCTGTTACTTCCCAGGTACAGCTACTGCACCATGCTTAAATGAACCAGTCTCAGGCAGGTCTCAAGCCATGTACACCATTAAACAGAACTGAAATTCTTTGGAAGTAGGATCTACTCTATAGCATTTGTGTCAGTCAAGCATCAAAACACGGTTTCAAGCTTGTTTTACAGCTGCTTTTGGAAGCTGTCAGTGGGGACGGGCTAGGATTAGCTGGCTGTTCCTTTAAGGATGCCAAAAGTGGATGTCGAAAGAAAACCAGCTGGAAGTGTTTTCAAAGGAGGCTGAAATACCAGATGAACAGGAAACGCACAGGAACTGAATAAAGTCCAGTGGCTGGAATACAAGGATAGCCACAAGAAAGAAGGTATTAAAAAGGACCTTTACCAGGGAGGCAAAAAAGAGCAAGCCCCAGCAGACAAGGTATGATTATATCTGAGCCTAAG